CCACACGCACGTGTATACATACATACACACATGTTTAACATAGGATAATCACTCAAGTCGCTATAGAGAATATAAGTATTCTTTGGTTCTTTCGGTTAAGTCACGTATAAAGATAAAATAATAAATTAAATAATTAATAATAGCATACTACGACGTTTCAATTGCAACACAAGCAATCATCATCAGGTATAAAAGAAATAGCAACAAAAATCTAACCAAAAATCTAACCAGTTAGTTAAATCTAACCAGTTAGATTTTTGTTGCTATTTCTTTTATACCTGATGACGATTGCTTGTGTTGCAATCGAAACGTCGTAGTATGCTATTATTTAATTTATTATTTTATCTTTATACGTGACTTAACCGAAAGAACCAAAGAATAATTCCTGCAGTCACGAAAGCTCCAAAATTGAGATAGAATATAAGTAACATGTAAATAATTAATACAAGTATGTATTTACACATCCCATCAGCCATACGGACCAGTCTCAAACAGGGAGTCCGCCCTTGCCTGTAACCACTACCTCAGCCTGACTGCTGCTGGTGGTGAGACGCCGACTGTCGAAGCCAGCCCTTGCCAGTAACCATCTGGCAGTCCACCATCTCTGGTTCAGTCGCTGCCAACGGCATTGGGCTGTGATCGTCCCTGTAACAGAGCTGCTCAGTTCAATGGGGCCCTACCAGCTGAAATAATAAAGCCTTAAAAGTCTGTACGCAACTCTACAAGATATCTATGCAATCCCAAATACAGTAGCTGTGTGTAATTACAGCAAGGCCGTAGCCACGGAGTCAACATTGGGGGGGACCAAATCTTCCAGGGGGTCTGGGGGTCCCCCCCCCCCAGAAAAAAAATCTAAATTTGAAAACGAATTTCCTGCCTAAAATATAAAAAAATTCACTAACACATGCGATGAACTTTTTATTTACTTTTTACAATAATGTCTAATAGTGTATTGTATTACATTGCTCTGTTTTTTCTTTTTTTTTACCTTTTCTTGTTTCATTGTATGTAATGGCAGAGATTAGGGATTAATAAAGTACAACCATAACCACAATCATATAAACATAAATCTATTTTATAGCAATATATTGGGGGGGACATTTTGAGCATATTGGGGATGTGTCCCCCCCAATATATACTACAATTACGGCCTTGCATTGCAGTATATGCATCTCTGTGTAACTCTCTGGATATCTGTGTCGTTGTATGACTATGTAACTATGGTGCTCTGTGCAACTCTATGGGTCGCTATGTAAGTATGAGTGGCTATGTAACTATTTGGGTCTCTATGGCTCACGATTAACTCTGTGAGTCTCTATGTAACTATGGCTCTCTATGTGACTCGATGGGTCGCTATGTAACTATATGGGTGACTATGTAAATATTTGCGTCTCTATGGAACTCTATGGCTCTCTATGAACTATAAGCGTTTCTATGTAACTGTGGCTCTCTATGTAACTCTATGGCTCGCTATGTAACTCTTTGGGTCTCTATGGAACTCTATGGCCCTCTAAGTAACTCGATGGGTCGCTATGTAACTCTATGGGTGGCTATGTAACTCAATGTATCGCTATGTAACTCCTTGGGTCTCTATGAACTCTGTGAGTCTCTATGTAACTCTGTAGCTCTCGATGTCACTATATGGCTCTGTATGTAACTCGATGGGTCGCTATCTAACTATATGGGTCGCTATCTAACTATATGGGTCGCTATGTAACTATATGGCTCTCTATGAACTCCGTGAGTCTCTATGTAACTCTATGGCTTTATATGTACCTCTATGGCTCTCTTTATAACTACAGTGTCCTGTAAACTGAGGGTCTTGATCTGGAGTCGTCCTTGTAACAGAGCTGTTCAACTCCTTGGGCCTCACAGCTGGAATAAAGTCTGAATCATCATAATCATTGAACCATGTAGATTCGCCCCCTCCCCCCATCCCTTGTTGCGCGTGAGACTCGAGCTGATGGGAGAGGAGTTCGGACCCCATGCCAGATACCAGCTGCCTGCATAGCTGAGCGGTTAGAGCACCGGTCTCGTAAATCCAGAGGTCGCGAGTTCAAATCTCACCGGGGCCTTAACAATATATTACTTGCCACATCACTCAAATAACACAACCCTTCCACTGGCGCCAGGCCAGTCCCAACTCAACACACACACACAGCCTCACAACCTCCCTCCTTGCCATATCCGTCCTTCCACACAGGAACCACTCGCCAGATATCACTGAAAATATATTCCCGTGGCCGGGAATCGAAGTCAAATAAGTATTTGCGCTAACCGTTGCGCCACCGCTCCCCAAACTGATGTTTACAACACACAATCAAGTACAAATGTTGGGGATGTTATTTCTGGGGTTGTTGGCTGACTAGGCAGCGAAGCTGCGTATCGCCACTGAACCAGCGTGGTGAAGTATGGCTTGGGATGCACGTGAAAGTGACCAGCAGAGGGCAGCAGCAGCAGGAAACGCGTACTGGGGTCCTCGCACGCAAGTCGAGAAAAAAATATTCAGGATGGGCTGGCTGGTGATTGATTTCTCATAATTACAAAGTCATACAATATATCAGCACAATTGCCTATTGTTCCAGCACCTCCGATTAGCACTGTTGGCTACCTACAATACGTTAAACAAACATACACAGGCCCAACATACATCGCGTGTTCGACGTGAGCGGGTATCCAACTCTGGAGCCGGCGTGCTTAACTACACACTCACACATACAATTACACACATACAATTACACACATACAATGATACATAAACACACGCACTCAAAAACGATCGCTCTGTATAACCTCAATAGACTGTTGAAGACCGGTACACATACGAACACACGCGTACACGCACACTATGTATATAATTGTTAATCATCACAGCGCTTTGTTATTCCACTGCTGTATGAAATCAAGGCCACTATACCCACGTTAGTTAACTCCACCGCGCTGTCAAGAGCCGCAGGCTGGGGTCACCACCACCACCACTCGCCACTGACGTCAGCCGTGGTCAGTCATCGAACCCGGGTTGTCAGGTTTACAGAACAATGCACATTGCCACAGGCACTCGCACACAATGCACGCAATCTCATACAAGTACAAAGACAATTATGCCCCGTATAGCTTTTAATAGACTGTTGGGGAAAGTGCTGTGCGGGCGTGGTGTGTCATTGTGTATTACATATTGCACCAGGTACTGCATCAAGGCTGAGTCGACCAAAGGGAGGCCAAGGACCGGCTCACCACTGATGTTAATGAATCGCACTCTGAAGCAGCGGGGTTCGTAGCGCATTGCGCTAAGCATTGCACCACCGCTCCGTGTCAGTGATTATTATAACTCGATAATAATAGAGGTTTTTTGGGGGATATGCATTTAGTACGTACGCATAGGAAACGGGGGGGGGGGGGGGGGGTGAAGCCTCGATAATAATGTGTCTACATTGGCCTTGAAATGAGTGTTAGATAATCCGGCGGTGGACTGTTTGTCTAAACACGTTAATAGTATTAATCCTTGATCGTTTCTGCGTGGATTGAATATCGGCCGTTCTATAGGATTCGGGGGGAGGGGGGGTCAAGCGTGCGTACGCAGGGGGAGGGGGATGTAAAAAGGGCGCATGCGTACAGGGAGGGGGTCAGGTTTTGAGAGATTTTTACGGACAAACTAAATGGATGGTCCCTAATAGCAACAGTGGCGAATGATTCCTGAACCAGTTTCTGTCCCCCCTAATCCACCCCTCCCCCCACCGCCTCGCCACGTATTCATTCACAAACCAGCAGTGACCAGTGTGGCGAGGTATGGTCAAACAACTATCGCACTGACAAAGGCCTGCACGTTGTTATTATTCGTGTAACTCGTTCAGTGTTTTATCGGGTATGTGGTCTATGCTCTGGGTACAATGTATGTCATTGCGTGTTGAGTTCCGTGTGGGTTCAGGGTTTGTTATGGACGCACCTGGAATTTGCATCGAAAAGCAGAAACAAGAACACGCTGATTAGAGAACACACGCAGGCGAGAGAGAGATATTCACATCGATCTACATCCAGCAGTGGATGGACCACGGCTGATGATAGTCGTGATAATGAGGAATGTACGTGTGTGTACGTGTGTAAATAGTAAGTGTGTGTGTGTGGTGATGCGTTCTGCGTATCTATGTGTGTGTGTATAGGCCTTTATAAGTGCTCGCTAACAGCGCTTTCCCCAACAGTCTGTTAAGGCCATACGGGGGGATATTATTGTATTAGTGTAGGTATCAATGCGAGTATGTTAGTGAGTTTATACATGTGTGTATTGAGACGGTGTGTGTGTGTGAGAGGTCGTGTCGTGGTTAGCGCTACGCTGCGCTACGAACCCCGCGACTCGAGTTCGATTCCCGCTAACGGCCAACGCCAGTGAAGGATTATCTGATCCGGTCCTGGGGCCTCCCCTAGGCCGACTCAGCCTCAAATGAGTACCTGGTGCGGTGTGTAAACATCGCCACTAGGGAGACAAACACGGCCGGGCGTGGAGCTAAGCCACCCCACCCCCCTCGTGTGTCGCGCCGACCTTTATAGGTGCTCGCTAACAGCACTTGCCCCAACAGTCTCTTAAGGCTACACGGTGGATCTTTATCTTTGTTTTATATGTGGGTAATATGCTTATGTCTTTTTGTGGGAATATGGTCCTGGGTCTCTCCGAGGTCGACTCAACCTCAAATGAGTGCCTGGTGCGATGTGTCAACATCGCCACTAGGGAGACAAAGGCGGCCGGGCGTGGAGCTAAGCCACCCACGCCGTCGTAGGCCGTGCCGGCCTTCATAGGTGCCACTCGCTAACAGCACTTGCCCCTGTCGCCATGTGTAGGCTACACGGGGAACCTTTCTCTTATGTTTGGGACGTACTTGTTCACAGTATAAGCGCGCGCGCGTGTGACTTGTGAACGCCGCGCTGCCCACCGTAACAAAATTAACCTGCCCCCCCTCTCTCTCTTTGTTGGGGGGGGGGGGGAGGGAGTCGCGGTCCCCTGTTCTCACCTCCCAGCGGCGAGGGGGTCGCGGGACCCCCGGGTCGATGCGGGGTCAGGACCCTGTTCCGGACCCCGAAGTCTCCACGCAGCACTGGGTTCCCGCAAGTCGGAGTCCCGGGGTCTCCGCTCACCCCCCGCTCCCCCCCACCCCCACTTGCAGCTGTCTTGAAGTGAAGGGTCCCTTTCCGGCAGGGGTCCGGTAGGGGTCCGGTAGGGGTCCGAGAGAGGCACCTTCGGCTGTCCTTCCTCAGCAGGGGTCCGAGAGAGTCGTCCCCGCTCCCCGAGAGTCGAGGTCAGTCCTAAAAGGGGTTCTTAGAGAGGGTATCCGAGACTAGGGGGGGGGTCTCTTCCACAGGGGTCCTGTACTAGAGGAGGCCGATGCGGGCCGAGGGGATGTCCGCGTACCCCCTTCGACTCGAGCGGAGCAGCGAGCGAGGGGGATGATGATGATGAAGTCGCGACTTCGCTCCCTCTCTGCTGCCCTCCCTCCCTCCCACCTCGAGTGTGCGCGACTCGGCGCGTCAGCGGGGAGTGACGCCACAGGACCCCTCCCGAGCCGGGGGAGGGGTGAGGGGGTGAGGGGAGGGGTGAGGGGGTGAGGGGAGGGGTGGGGGAGTGATGGGAGGGAGGGGTGCGGAGATGCGTGGAGTTAAAGCGACTTTAGTGATGTGAGGGTGAGTGAAGGAGTGATGGGAGCGAGGGTAATGGGAGGGAGTGATGGGGTGGGGGTGGAGTGATGGGAGGGAGTGATGGGGTGGGGAGGAGTGATGGGAGGGAGTGATGGGGTGGGGAGGAGTGATGGGAGGGAGTGATGGGGTGGGGTGGAGTGATGGGAGGGAGTGATGAGAGGGAGTGATGGGGTGGGGTGGAGTGATGGGAGGGAGTGATGGGAGGGAGTGATGGGGTGGGGAGGAGTGATGGGGTGGGGGGGAGTGATGGGAGAGAGTGATGGGGTGGGGTGGAGTGATGGGAGGGAGTGATGGGAGGGAGTGATGGGGTGGGGAGGAGCGATGGGAGGGAGTGATGGGGTGGGGAGGAGTGATGGGAGGGAGTGATGGGGTGGGGGGGAGTGATGGGAGGGAGTGATGGGGTGGGGTGGAGTGATGGGAGGGAGTGATGGGAGGGAGTGATGGGGTGGAGAGGAGCGATGGGAGGGAGTGATGGGGTGGGGAGGAGTGATGGGAGGGAGTGATGGGGTGGGGAGGAGTGTTGGGAGAGAGTGATGGGGTGGGGAGGAGTGATGGGGTGGGGGGGAGTGATGGGAGAGAGTGATGGGGTGGGGTGGAGTGATGGGAGGGAGTGATGGGAGGGAGTGATGGGGTGGGGAGGAGTGGTGGGGGGGAGTGATGGGAGGGAGTGATGGGGTGGGGTGGAGTGATGGGAGGGAGTGATGGGAGGGAGTGATGGGGTGGGGAGGAGTGATGGGGTGGGGTGGAGTGATGGGAGGGAGTGATTGGAGGGAGTGATGGGGTGGGGAGGAGTGATGGGGTGGGGGGGAGTGATGGGAGGGAGTGATGGGGTGGGGAGGAGTGATGGGAGGGAGTGATGGGGTGGGGAGGAGTGATGGGAGGGAGTGATGGGGTGGGGAGGAGTGATGGGGTGGGGGGGAGTGATGGGAGAGAGTGATGGGGTGGGGTGGAGTGATGGGAGGGAGTGATGGGAGGGAGTGATGGGGTGGGGAGGAGCGATGGGAGGGAGTGATGGGGTGGGGAGGAGTGGTGGGGGGGAGTGATGGGAGGGAGTGATGGGGTGGGGTGGAGTGATGGGAGGGAGTGATGGGAGGGAGTGATGGGGTGGGGAGGAGTGATGGGGTGGGGTGGAGTGATGGGAGGGAGTGATTGGAGGGAGTGATGGGGTGGGGAGGAGTGATGGGGTGGGGGGGAGTGATGGGAGGGAGTGATGGGGTGGGGAGGAGTGATGGGAGGGAGTGATGGGGTGGGGAGGAGTGATGGGAGGGAGTGATGGGGTGGGGTGGAGTGATGGGAGGGAGTGATGGGAGGGAGTGATGGGGTGGGGTGGAGTGATGGGAGGGAGTGATTGGAGGGAGTGATGGGGTGGGGAGGAGTGATGGGGTGGGGAGGAGCAATGGGAGGGAGTGATGGGGTGGGGTGGAGTGATGGGAGGGAGTGATGGGGTGGGGTGGAGTGATGGGAGGGAGTGATGGGAGGGAGTGATGGGGTGGGGAGGGAGTGATGGGGTGGGGAGGAGTGATGGGAGGGAGTGATGGGGTGGGGTGGAGTGATGGGAGGGAGTGATGGGAGGGAGTGATGGGGTGGGGTGGAGTGATGGGAGGGAGTGATTGGAGGGAGTGATGGGGTGGGGAGGAGTGATGGGGTGGGGGGGAGTGATGGGAGGGAGTGATGGGGTGGGGTGGAGTGATGGGAGGGAGTGATGGGAGGGAGTGATGGGTGGGGAGGAGCGATGGGAGGGAGTGATGGGGTGGGGAGGAGTGATGGGAGGGAGTGATGGGGTGGGGGGGAGTGATGAGAGGGAGTGATGGGGTGGGGTGGAGTGATGGGAGGGAGTGATGGGAGGGAGTGATGGGGTGGGGAGGAGTGATGGGAGGGAGTGATGGGGTGGGGGGGAGTGATGGGAGGGAGTGATGGGAGGGAGTGATGGGAGGGAGTGATGGGGTGGGGTGGAGTGATGGGAGGGAGTGATGGGATGGAGTGATGGGGTGGGGGGGAGTGATAGAGTGGGGAGGGGAGTGATGGGAGGGAGTGATGGGAGGGAGTGATGGGGTGGGGGGGAGTGATGGGAGGGAGTGATGGGGTGGGGTGGAGTGATGGGAGGGAGTGATGGGAGGGAGTGATGGGGTGGGGGGGAGTGATAGAGTGGGGAGGGGAGTGATGGGAGGGAGTGATGGGGTGGGGGGAGTGATGGGGTGGGGAGGAGTGATGGGAGGGAGTGATGGGGTGGGGGGGAGTGATGGGAGGGAGTGATGGGGTGGGGGGGAGTGATGGGAGGGAGTGATGGGGTGGGGAGGAGTGATGGGAGGGAGTGATGGAGTGGGGAGGGGAGTGATGGGAGGGAGTGATGGGGTGGGGGGAGTGATGGGGTGGGGAGGAGTGATGGGAGGGAGTGATGGGGTGGGGAGGGGAGTGATGGAGTGGGGAGGGGAGTGGTGGGAGGGAGTGATGGGGTGGGGAGGGGAGTGATGGGGTGGGGTGGAGCCGTAGGTGAAATGGCGCCGTGTGCGAACTTCGCACTTGCCCCATCAGTCGTGTCAAGGCTATATGGGCGACCTGTTTCTGTCTGTCTGTCCGTTTTACGAATCCGGAACCCCGAGTTCGATTCCCGCTCACGGCCAGCACCAGTGACGATGATCTGATCCGATTCAAGGGCCCTCCCCAAGGTCAACTCGGCCTTTAATGGCTACCTGGAGCGGTGTGTAAACTGGGGAGCCAAAGACGGCCGGGCGTGGTGCTGGCCACCCACCCCCACGCGTGCCGTGCAGGCCTTCATGAGTGTTTGCTAACAGCACTTGCCCCAACAGTCTGTTAAGGTTGTACGGGGGATATTTGTCTTTGTATGTGCATGCATGGGTCTATATGTGGACAGTATATGTCTGCGTATATATGTTTGAGGCAGTTGTGGAGAGAGTGGAGGAGTTTCCGTACCTGGGCAGTGTGCTTATGACCAGCTCTGGATTGGCAGCGGAGGTCGCACTCCGAGTGAATCGAGCGGCACCGCTGAGTCAGTGGCGTGCCGAGCCTGTCGCTCCACACGAAGCTCCCGGGTCTTCTCGGCCACAGTTAGGCCGCCCTTCGCTACGCTTGCGAAACAACCGGCCTACGATCCATCCTGGGTTTAATGAGACTGGATTTTGTGAGGAGCTCAAAGACCACTGAAAGATCTGAACACAGGCCCATCATAGGTGAGCTCCTTCGGCAGGCGAGGCTGCGTTGGCAGAGCCATGAAGCCTGCATGCGCAGCCACCGCATGCCCAAGCAGCTTCTGTTTGGCCGGACAGAGGGGGATAAACGGGCGCGGTACGGGCTGCAGAAGAGATGGAGTGATGTGGTTCAGGAGGATACGGAGCTGAGTGGCAGAGGAGCGACAACGAGCGGAGTGCCGGGCGGATAAATCGCTGCGAGGTGGCGTCGTGAGGAGCACAGGTGGTGCATTTGCCAGTCATCTCAGTCGGTCAATCCATGGCACCTGGGCCTGTCCCGTGACCAGCAGCGAGACGTCCACACTTCACGTTATGTGATGATGGGAGGTGATGGGGGGGGGGGGTGATGGGGGGAAGTGATGGGGCGGAAGGGAGTAACTCCCAGTTGCTTGTACCAGGGAACAGCTGGGAGCGGGGTTGGCGCTGTGGGTGGGAGAGGGGCGGGGGTGGGGGTGATTAAGGGGGGGGGGGGTCGGGGTGAGCCCAGGTGATCGCGGCTGAGGTTGCCAATCTCAGGGCGATGACGTCGCCCACTCCGAGTCGCCCGCTCCGCCAATAACGCAGCTGTAGAGCCTCCCCTCTCCCCCCCTCCTTCTCCCCCCCCACCATCTCCTCTCCCATCACTCTCCCTCCCCGTCTCCCTCCCTCCACTCTTCCTCCCTACTATTCCTCCTCCCCCCCACTCTCCCTCCTCTCTCCCTCCACTCTCCCTCCCTCTCTCAATGTTCTTGTTGCTGTTATTTGAAGGAGAAAAGATCTGTACCGGGTATCCTCCTCCACCCCATCTCCACCCTCCCCCCCACCCTGCCCCCCCCCCCCCCCTCTGGAGGAGCCGCGACTTTTGGACTCTGTGTTTAGGGCCCAGTCACTGCTTGGGTTTTGGAACTCAGCGACCCCCACTATAGCCCCAATCACAGAGGAGTCACTCATTTACCCGGCACAGCATCGCCGAGTCTCAAGCCCCCTGCTCAAGAGGGTGCTGCCACACAACTGGGACGCTTGGTGAATTGCTCTGCAGCTTGGCACCGTTTGGCTGCCATGTGGGAAGGAACCGGAGACCCCTGAGAAAGCCAGAGAACGTTCCTGCATGTGTGCGATTGAATCCATCTGTGCAGTGCTTTGAGTGTCTCCCCCCCCCCCCTTCCTCGTGTGCAGCAGCTTGGGGCGGAGTGCTCTCCGGGGTCTCCGCTTTCCTCCGGCACGGAGCCAAACTCACACTGCTGACGGGATTCACGGCCAAACATCTCCGTGTGGCAGGACCCTCCTGAGGGCGAGTCTCGAGACTCGGTGACGTTCTGTGTTAAAGACTCACAGAATCACACAGAGACCAATAGACTCACATAAAGGCCCATAGATTACATAGAGGCCTACAGACTCGCATCGAAACCCATGGGTTATATAGACCCACAGATTCGCATATATACCCACAGACTCACATAGATACCCATGGACTCACACAGATACCCATGGACTCGCATAGAAACCTATGGATTATGTAGAGACCCATATACTCGCATAGAGACCCGTGAATTTACATAGAAACCCATAGGCACACAGAGACACCGATAGGCTCACACGAATAGGATTAATGGCCGAACAACTCCGTGTAGG